AAGCCCTATGAAGCGGTATATAAGTCTACTGCTATTGCTGTTGCTATTGCTACCTCCTGCTCTGCATTATGGAATTAAAGAGCCTCAGGTGTTGTGCACTTCTCAATTTGAGCCCCTTAATGAATAAATGCTGTTAGATGGAAGGTTTACTGGATGTCAACTTAAAAGGCATGCCGCTGTAATTTTTTTTTTTTTGTAAACATCAATGGAAGGGGCTAGTTAGGGATTTTCAAAATAGAAAATAATGTCTGTGTGAATGATTGAAACCTGGTGTTTTTGTTGGCATCAGCAAATAAAAAAACTTGATGGCTTTGCTACAAGGTGTTTTTTTTAAAAAAAATTGTTTTAGATTTCTGTATTGTTGCTTTTTTAATGTCCTATTAGTAGCTCATGATGGGAGGCCATCCACATTGTTAAAATACATAAAATGTTCCATCCTGAAAAAATATCTGCAATCCAAAAACAGGAAGGATTGAACAATTTTCCAAACTGCATAAATCAAATCAACATTTTCTGTATGCAACTAGACTTCAATTTCAATTTTGTTACAACTTGTGATCCTAAACTATTATTTTTGAAAATACTAAGATTCTTCTAGCTGCCAACCCACAGAGCTGTACACGCCATGGATATAAAATAAATAGGGAAAATTTCTATGACCCAAGTGAAGATAATCACATTTTTTCTGATACATCTGATGCCACTCATGGCTGTGTAACAATCAGAAATTAGCAGGTGTGGCCTTCCATTTAAAAAAAAAAAGACCACTCGTTGAATTACTATGCATGTGGTGGTGATGAATATCCTTGTTATTATTGCAACACTATTGTCACTCGTAATGTGGCCCAGTATTTTTTCCCCCCCTTCAGTGTCATCTTGTGCTGGCTTTAACTGGACTGAAAGAATAAATTAGCAAATTGGTTTCTTAGTTATTTTGTGTACTTGAAAACCATGCTGTAGAGATGCTCTTTACTCATTTGAATCTCCAATTTGAAAAAGATGTTGTATTTATTAAAGTCAAGCGAAAGAGTGTAGGTGACCAAATAAGTTCATGATTTAATTTGAAGTCCCATCTTTTTATGTCATTTTGTGTGGAATAAAAAGAATAGCCACCACCAGATGGCACTCACATTTCAGTCCAAGCAAAGTTATGTTTATATTTGCCTGGAGAATTAAGTATAGTAGTAATATTTTGAATAACGCTTGCAAAGATTAAGCCCTACACACCATTAATACATGTATTAGACTTTCAAAGTTTTTTACTGCCTGATCATTAGCCTCGCTCTGCTTAATTTCCTTCCTGTGTCTTCCACATGTTCTTTCCATTATAACAAATTCAGGCTAGCCTGTTGTACAGAAGAGCCCCAATGAAGTCTGTCAGATTTTAAGTCAATCTGTAATATCCTTGCAGGAGCAACAATAACTTGCATTATAGCAACCCATCCCTGGGAGATATCCTGGAAAGGAGGAATGATTTGATTGATTTTATAGCAAAGTGTTATATATTGTTGCATGTTGGTAAGCTCTTAACTGCAAAAACTCTTGCATTTCGCTAGTCAAGGCCTACGGTACTTAAAATTATGAAAAGGCCAGATATGCCAATTTTAGGTCTCATTTCTACCACAAATAGAGGAAGAATCTTTTTGGCGAACAATGATTTTCTGGCATTGTAAAGGAATGGGTAATGGGATAAGCATTCCTAGTGCAGATAAATTGCATGAATTGTTGTCCCCAATGGTCAACTTGCTAGGCAGAATAAGCAAACAATGTGGTCTGATAGTAATGATGCAACCTTAAGTTGTGTTAAAATGTAAATTATGCACATTAGATATGGCCTTTTAATAGAATATTTCATGCATAAGGTAAACGTGGCCAACCTAAGACATTTTGTTGCCTGTGAAGACTAGATGACACTATTTTTCCATCATTGAAACTGATCAAAGTTGGTACAAACTCACAATGAGGTAGTGTGTTCCATCAACCTAACCCTGCAGAATGGTTTAGGGCCGTAATGGCGAACTTACGACACGCATGCCACAGGTGGCACATGGAGCCATTTGTTAGGGCATGCAAGGGTTGCCCTGCCAGCCCCAGCGCACATTTGTGTGCTGGCTAGCTGATTTCAGCCCTCATTTTTGGTCATTTTTTGCCCTCCGAAGGCTTCAGGAGGCTTCCCTAAAGCCTCAGGAGGGAGAAAAACAGCCCTATGGGCAACCCAGAGGTTTGGGAACGGACTTCCAGGTTCCCCATAGGGCCCTTTTTCACCCACTGGAGGCTTCAGGGAAGCCTCCTGGGATGGGGTGTTTTTACCCTCCCAATGCTCCTAGAAAGCCACTGGAGTCTGAGGAGGGCGAAAAACAGGTCCATCGCGAGCCAAAAGGGAGGGGGAGGGGAGGGGTCGTGTGCATAGAATTATGGGTGTGGGCACGCCCGTGCACGACCCGCTGCGCTCACCTCACTTTTGGCACACAATGGGAAAAACGTTAGCCATCACTGGTTTAGGGAGTTAAATGTATGCTGTGTGGCCAATGGATGGAAATGCTTGGGAAATCCAGAAGGAA